AAAAAGTGGTATCGTGCCATCTCTAGTTCATATACCAGCTGGGAACTGATTTAGGTGACAAGAATTGTCAGAAACAAAACAAACACTAACACAACTGGCAACACTGGCATCATCTTGGCCATCTTGGATTTCTTTTAAATGCAACCTAACCAGCTATGTTAACTTTACTGACACATGAAGTCGCTTCACTGTCAGACGTTTCATGAACACAAAATAAAAATGGAGAAGGAAAGAAACTTTGTGTTTTCATTTTTTGATGTCAGATCATGTGATGCGAAACAAAGCACACAAAGTTCATCTGTACAATAAACAAGCACTCACTGCTGAACCAGTTTGACCAGGATACTGACACACACACAGACACACACAGACATTTTCCACCAACACAAAGCTACTGAGTATTTGATGAATAATCAGAATATCAAGTCATTAGTTTTGAGGTGAGGAGACATTATGTTGGAAACTTCCATCGGCCTTTTGTTTTACTTTGTAAGCAGCCACATTTCCCACATTTCCCACATTTCCCACATGGTCATATGAGCCTTCAAAGTTTCCCAGAATGCATTGTTTTAACCTGAACTTGTTTCTGTTCCTCACAGATGGTTCAGTTTATTAAAACCGTAAAACTTTGAAGATTTTGTCTCTAGATTGTGACAGTTGTGGTGCTTGCTGTAAAAATGATTAATTTGAATGCAGCTTTTCACAGAACTTAAATGGGATTTTTAGTATTTTGTTTTTTAATCTTGAAGATTTCATATCTTATGAAGTTATGAGGGAAACACTCATAAATGGTTAATGGACTGGTTCTTACGCAACACTTTTCTACTCTGAGTGTGAATTCCAGGATGTAGACAACACCAGGAACAGAGTAAGTGTTTGGTTTATATTTTCCAGATCTGCTGGATTTATGATTAATGTGTTGTTGTTTTATTTTGAGCGTTCACTCTCTTGTTTTTGTCTGTTGTGTGCTAAGAATTGTGTTGTTTTTGAAAATAACTGTGTTCTTTAAGTACATGTGACATCTTCTTTTATTCATTAGAACAAGTTGTTCCAAATTCACGTACACTAAACAGACAGGCTGTTGTTTCTACACATCTACCTGTTTTACTGAGACAAGTTCACTTCCTGTTACTTTGTAAATGTAGAAGACAGGAATGTGGTTTCTAAAATGCTGCTATGATCTTCAGTGGATTAACAGATTGGATACCAAAGGTGGACGAAGTTCTTCTAAGTTCAACTAAGTCGCTCAAACACAGATCAGAGTAAAGCAGACATTCCTCTGTTATCTCGTTGTGATAATCTGCTTTGTTGTAAATGTCTGTGTCTATTTGGTATTTTCCCTGAAGAACAGAATTTGAGTTTCAATCTGACTAAGATTAAATTCAAGGGTGAAAATACCAAATAAACTCAGACATTTAGAACAAAGCAGATTATCACAACGAGATAACAGAGGAATGTCTGCTTTACTCTGATCAGTTTCTCTGTTTGTTGGTGTTTTTGTGTTTGTGTCTGCAGGCGAGATTTAACTGTTAGAAGTAGGTAGTCTTTTGTTTTTTTTTATCCCAGGCCCACAGAGGAATAAAATCTTTTTAGGATCTTTCTAGCTATTAACATAACTTTTAAATTCAAAAGAGTAATCATAGAAAAGATAAACATAAAATATAGACTTCACCTGCAAATAGTCTTTGAGCTCTTGACCAAAGTAAAGGTGGAATTACACATTAGTACTCTGCTGTTTACAAAAGAACTTACCTTTCGTGAAGTTATTCACCAGGAATTGCTACTGCACCCTCAGCATACCTGCTTCTCACAGCCTTGAGCTAAAATGTGTTTCTATTTTATTTCTACAGACTGATTAAATTAAAAAACACCACCCAAAATAATTCCCTGATAAGCAAAATACCATAAAATTTTTCCTATCCAATCTTCAGTTACTGTCAACACAGAGAAACAAAGTTAATATGTAATCGTTTGTTTCTCTTTGTTACATTTTAAATTCTCTTCAACTTTCATCGAATTTTCCCTGCTGGATTTAAATGATCATGTTGACATATTTTTGTCTATGTTCTCACCTCAGAGGAGGAAAAGTAAACTGAGAAATAATCAAGATGATCATTTCAAAGGAGTTACTGATCATTTAATTCATTAGAAGAAAAACGTATGACACTTAAGTTGTTCAAATATTTAGTTTAGTATGAGAACAAAAACTAAAAGAGAAAAAATGAAAGTAGAGTTTTTAAACCATTTTGATTGTTAGACACGCAGAGATAAACACAGGAATGTTCGCTTTGATATGAAGCTTTGAAATGACTTTACATCCAAACAGACGATGAGAACAAAACAACAGAAAGAAAAATAATGGAGCTGCAAGTTCAAATAGAGCTGATGAATGTACTGAACACCAAAGAGGAAATCTGATATGATTCACACACAGACACATGATTTTACTGCTGAACCAGTCTGACCAGGATACTGACACACAGCTATTTACCATCAACACAGTGGTGCTGAGGAGCTGATCAATAATTTAATCATTGAATAAATGACCCTGATTTATTGGTTTTAGACATGTTGCATTTGAAAAGAATATTTAAGGTTTGTAAAAAAAATTTTTAACCATGTTGTGTATGAGTTTCACTTTAGTAAATGTATTTAGTTACTGCAATAATCAGTTTAAGTTTTTCTTTTAAATGAACAGTTTATGCTGGATCTCAGTGTAATGTTAAAACAATTATAATAATAATATATAGACTTTGTTACTTTGAACTAATGATCCTGATAATCAATAACAGGATGTTTTTATTGTATTTGGTTCTATTATATTCTAACAGGCGGGCAGGTGGAGCTAACCACAGCTATGTTCGCTCTAACAGGAGCTTTAGCTGCACTGAAGTGAAATCATTTCACAGTCAGACAGAGCACAAAACAAGAACAGGAAATAAAAGGTGGGGTTAGAATAAAAGCAGACAGAAACAGTAACAGACATATCTGTTGTTTGTCAGTAAATGTGAGCGACTCTCTGACAGGCTGTAACTTGTGCTGGACAGTCTCCTGTCCCACATGGTGAGACGCTGAATTATCAGATCAAACATCCAGAGCACCTCTGCTTGTTCCTGTTCATCACAGACATGAACCTGCTGAAGTTTACTCACATTATTATACATCATACTGATCCTCACACACTGACAGAAATCACGTTCTGTCTTCAGACTGTGATGGGTGGAGTGGGTTTCCAGCCCCCACCTGTGTGTACTTCAAGGACCTGAAATATTTATTGTATTTCAGAGTTTCATTAAGTTATTTGACAGAAAGATCAGCTGACTGTGAGGGCTCAGAGTCAGCTGTGACTTTGTATTTGTGGTATTTGTTTGTCAAATATGTGAACTCACAGCTGATAGGTGGAGGAATGTGGTTGCTAAGGTGATGTTGTGGGCGTTGATATCACAGATCTGAGGTGTGTCTGTTTAAAAACAGCTGATAAGGAAACACAGCTCAGTTTGTTCTCTGGATGTTTAGTACAGAGGTCCATTTTTATTTATTTTACTTTTTTGCTCTTTACATTTTTTAAATATTTATTTTTTCTTTTTTTCTTTTTCCATCATGATGATCAGAAAAGACTTTCAAGATTTCGGAGATTCCTTCAGAAAAACTGTAAGTGTTTTATAATTATATTTTTGAGTGTTTTGAACAAAGATGGAAAAAGTTCTCTGTGGTTTTATGGAGGCTACAGCTAAATGCTGCCTCCTCCATAGTACAATATACATTTTATACAGTGACGTCATTTTGAAGTCCTTTGGCTGATGATGGTCTTTAGTATGTAGCTGATGATTGATGATGAGAGAGGTTATGTTTGTGTTGTTCTGTGGAGATCATTCAAGAACTGAACCTGTTAAACACTCAGACCTGCTTTAGATTTCACCGCTTTAGTTATGACGCACTTATTCATGGTCATCGTACAGCGCAGCGTAACATACGTCACTTTAATGCGACTTCCTTAAGAGATATCGAAAGTGTGGCGTTTAAACGAGTGGCTGAAAAACAAATGTTTCAGCTTTATTTAAACCTCAAAGTTAACCTCATGTAGGCAGTTTTAAAAATCAGGTTTTGTTATTAACTGTTATTTAGTTATGACGCACTTATTTATGATTGTCCTACAGCGCAGCGTAACAAACAACACAAATTCTCAAGATACACCGGAAATGTGGAGTTTGAACAAATGTCTGAAAATCAAATGTTTCATCTTTGTTCAAACCTCAAATTTAACCTCATTGAGTCTAGTTTAATATAAGTTAGTTTCAGGAGTCAGTATACAGCCAGGGACAGCTAGTGCCACTACTTTTGTGGATGAGAATATTGTTTAATAAAATAAGATAGAAACACTTTAAACCTAGCTATTATTAACACTGAATTTAAATTCTATCACTGTATACATTTCATAGTGTTACCACCCACCTACAACCTGGCTTTATTTCTTGTTATCAATAGAAACCTTCATATTATTGTGCCAGAGAACTATTAACCAATAAAATATAAACACTGGTGCATAGGTTGCAGTCTGCACTTTCAACACAAGCTGAAATGTTGTTTCACTGTCATCTTAAATTTTTCAGGTGATTTGGAGGTGTGACCTGTCCTTGACCCCAAAACTACAAAACTACAGTGGCACTAGGGGTGGCACATGCCACTCCATGCCACCTCTGTAGATCCGCTCCTGAGTTTGCATTGGTATTGGTTACATTTTAAGGCATATTACACATTGTAAAAGATGCATATATGTAAAGAAATGCATTTGATTTTGCCACCCTAAGAACATTTCACAACATCCAGCCCAGTATACTGATAAGCTTTTTGTTCAGTGTATACAAACAGCTGTAGCTACATAAAGGCAGCACGCAGAGACTCAGTGTCTTATAATGAGAGGCTGCTTTCTCCTATTATCAGCACAAACGTCAGTTATGACGTATTTGTAATCGTCCTACAGTCCGTCTGCGTCAAACTAACGCGACTATGAGACATCGAAAGTCTGAACGAGTGACTGAACGTAAAATGTTTCAGCTTTTTTAAACCTCAAAGTTAACCTCATGTAGTCAAGTTTTAACTCGGGTTCGGTTATTCACTTAAAATACCAACAAACTCAACATTTACAACAATCTAAGAGTCAGATCAGCAGAAACAGAGAACCCGGAAATGTTTCCTGTAACTGCGTCGCTCTGCTCGACTTTGCTGTTTCTCGGCGTCTTCGTGTTTGTCTCTGCAGGTGAGGTTTATAAACCAAACGGTGTTTCCCTCTGAGATAAAGAGGAATAAACATCAGTCTGGTTTACAAGTTACTTCCCAAACAATTAGTTTCATATTTAATCAGTTTCTTTTGTTTGTGACGGCATCACGAGGTCTGGTGGTGTCTGTGTGGATTTACCCGCTTGGTCAGCGGTGCAGTTTGCGCCACAGAGACAAAGAAGTGTAAGATGTTTGTCACTGTGATGTGTTGTAGCTTCAGGAGTCAGTATAAGTATAAGAGCGGATCTACAGACGCGGCATGGAGTGGCATGTGCCAATCTAAAATGTTTTTTTCCACCCCTAGTGCCACTGTGTGGTTTTGTAGATGACAACACTATGCAATATTGCTTTACAGTTTATATTCAATGTTTGAAATGCTTGTCAAGCTACATTTTAAAGAAATGCCTTTGATTTTGATTTGAGTTTTAAATGGTTGTCCAAAGAAATGTCAGAATCATTGTTTACATTGTAAGGCACATTACACAACGTTACACTTGCGATATGTGTAAAGAAATGGCTTTGATTTTACGTTTGATTCCACGCCACCCTGAGAACATTTCATTACATCCAGCCCTGTATGCAGCTACAAAGCTTTTAGTTCAGTGTAAACAAACAGCTGAAGCTCCATAAAGGCAGCAGAGACTCACAGTGTCTTATAATGAGAGGCTGCTTTCTCTCACACATTATGTTCACTTATTATCAGCACATGTTTCATTGTATAAATGAAATGTTTATATAACACACATTGATCCATTGATCTTATTTATTTTATATAATGCTACAAGCAGTGAATGTGTGTACTCCACAATCTGATTGGCTGCTGCCTAAGTGAATAGTTGTACTTTGACCTTTAACCTCTCTGCTCTGTGTTGTTTTCTCTTTCAGGCCAGAAAACCATCACAGCTGTGTCTGGACAGGACGCCACTCTGCCATGTCGAGCTCCAAACAGCAGCAGCAGCATCTCAGTTGTAGAGTGGAGCAGAGCTGACCTGGGAGATGAATATGTGCTTTTGTACCGGGATGAGCTGTTTGATCCAGAAAACCAGCATCCATCTTTTAAGAACCGGGTGGATCTGAAGGACAGACAGATGAAGGATGGAGACGTGTCTTTGATTCTGAAGGATGTGATGATTAATGATAATGGGACATACGAGTGTCAGGTCTTCATGACAGGAACAAACATGAGGAAGAGAGCAAATCTAGTTAATGAGCCCATCAGCATCATCAACCTGAGAGTTGTTCCTCCAGGTGAGTGAGTAGAGTTGAGTGTGTGTGTGATCAGAGTTGGAGCTGGTTGCTGGTTGTTGATGTTTGTTTCTAAAGATGTTGTTGATGAGACTTTGTAGAAAGCAGCTGGTCTGAGTGATGTGATCAGAGTGCAGTAGATAATGTCTGACAGCAGTTTGAAGAGGAAATGGATTCTGTTCTGTTCTTCACTCATCACCTACCTGACAGCTGACACCTCACACCTGTTTCTCACCTGCAGGAGGATCTGTTGGACTGATCGTCGGTCTGAGTGTTTCTGCTGTGCTTCTTGTTGCTGTTGTTGGATTTTTGATCTGCAAAAAACATAAACAACAGCAGAGTCAGGATTCATACCAGCCTCCTGTTCAACTTCAGCCTCTTTGAAATGTCTCAGAGCTTCTTTCATGGTGATGCTGAATAAGAGAAGTTACTAAGTTATTACTAACCAAAGAAGCAGGAGTAAGTCTGACTGAAGAAACCTGAACACTAGAGTCCAAACAGAAAACCAGAAGATTTCTTCATTCCAAAGAGATTTCACAGCAGAGACAATGTTTGAATAAAAAGCTAACTGTCCTGCAAGTAAGAAGGAATAAAAATTATTAAACGTTGCAGGTTAAAAATAAATGAATTTTATTCTACAGCATCTTTGTCGGAGTCCCAAGAAATCAAACCTAAAGTGATCCAGGAAGGATCAAAGACATTTTAATCTGCATGCTGAGAAGTTGGCAGAAGATACTAAATAATGTTGGAAAAAGTGTTAAAGCCTACACCTTTACGGTTTTTAAAATGTTTTTTTGAATTTACTTCCAACACTGAGCATTTTTCACTTCTGATGTATTGAACAATTGTAAATTATTAGTAATAGTATTAGTAATCATGTTAAATGTTTCAAACACAGGTTTTCATCATTTGATTGCATGTTTGGTCTGAGGCAGCTAAATTAGTTTGTGGAGAAAATGATGTCAGATTTGTGTTTGTGGTTAGCCGCTCATATCAGTTTAACATGTTATACTCTTTACATTTCTGTGGACAGACAGGAGTTCATATTTTCAAACAATAATTAAAACATCTTAAAATAAATGCAAAAACATTTTATTTCAGTTGACGTCAGCAATTGTTTGTAAAGTCATATTTGTTCTTTCAGGCTTGAACCAAATGAATCCTCATGTGCAGATAAACTGTTACTTAATTACAGACACTAACTGATCAATCATCAGTCCGATGGTGCTCATTTGGCAACTATAACTGAATGGATGTTCTGACAGTGTCATAAAAGCAAAGACAGAAATGTAACAGTCAGATGTTTCCTCTGATCTGTGAAGATTTATTGAACTTTTCATCCCATGAACACTTGTGTTGTTTGTTTTCTCGTTGTTACTGCAATATTTCAAGAGCTAATAAATTTTTTACCTAAATAGTACTTTATAGTTTTGAGTCTATTGATGTGTTTTCTGTGGATGTAAGAGTTTGTTTTTTAATATCTCTTCTTCTTCTCCCTTCTATTGACTTAATTGATGCAGAGTTTATCTCAGCTGGAGTCCAAATAGATCATAGAAATCATCCAAGAATATCACTCAAACAACCCTGAGGTTGTTCATTTTGTCATCACTCTGAGGTCCCATCAGAAGACCAATAAGTTTTTTAAAATGAGTGCTTGCTCGTAGGGGGTCATATGATTGTTGGGTTTTTCTCTGCATCTATTATTGTACGATCTACTGTACAATATAAAGCGCCTTGAGGCGACTGTTGTTGTGATTTGGCGCAATATAAATAAATAAAATTAATTCCAGTTCAGCTCCATAACAGCAGCGTCCCTGGTTTGATTCCTGTGTTTCAGCTCATATCTGCCTCTCTCACTGAGGGGGACGTAACTACATGG